TGTTGTTGTTTTTTAAAGGGAGCGGGGAGTGTTTACGAAAGTGGTTTTGTCATCTATCTTTCATCTATCTTTATTGCCAGAAGAGAGCGTAAAAAAAAGGGGATGGAGGGAAGCGGTCAGCAGAAGGAAGAAGACAGAAAGAAAAAGAGAAAGTTAAAACGCGTCGGGTGCGCGCGCTTTGGTGCTAGGTGCGTAATAGAGTGTGTGTATATAATGAGAGACAGAGATAGATATAGATAGAGAGAGAGAGGGGGAGGAAGAGAGACAGACAGGGAAAGAAAACCATACACATGTACGTTTTATTATGCTGTTCCTCTATTTTTTTTTCTCTTCACAGAAACCTATTCACCCCAATTTCATCCAACTCATAGTAAAAACAGGACACTCCACTATTCTTTGAATTCCGTATAACAACAGCAAAATGTTCCACCGGGACCTTAGCATTATCCGTCAATAAACCCATCCCAGTGTGGCTCCTCTCTCACGCACGGCCGACTTTCATTCAAACATGGAGTGGGCTTCAGTTTGAGAAAAACTTGATTGATTCCCCAGCTTTGTCCCAATCCTCAAAAGGCCAAAGCACATCATAATCGATTAAAAGGCGTACCCAGCAGCTTGTCAGCAGCTTCTCGAAGACATGTAGGTCAAATCTAATACGAGCGAAATTTCAAAATAATGGGGATGAGGCTGGGTGTAAAGGAGAGAGGTAAGGTGGGATTGAATGATATTAATTGCTGGAGGCATTATTTTTTCCCAATGTAAATAGCCGAGTACTTAAGAGCAACGACATAACACTACCAAACGGAGCGTGCAAACTGTGGTAAAATGGGGTCCTGCAAAAGCTACAATTGCAAGAGTAGTGAATTTATTTAAGGGTTTTAAAACACATGTGTAATGTACTTCTTTCAATTCAAACCGTACTCGGAAAAGCCATATATTTCGCGGGCAAACAGAATATTGCGATATATAATCATAATCATGGCAGACGCGAGCATGATAGCACATGGGTGTAGGACCTATATGGCGTGGTGATTACATATTAGTTCCACATCCATATTTCAGTCGCAGTGTTTACACTGGTTATCGCACTACTATGCATAAGCAGAAAATTTCGACGGAAGAGCAATTTGCTTAATGGTATGAGAAATAAAGGGGGAAAAAAGAAGACCAAAGAGAAAAAGCCCCAAACTATATCATCAAAATAAATATCACACTGGAACATATGAAACATTACATGTGTATGTGCCGACGGGCTATTCGACCACGTAATCCTGGGTTGCATACCCTTCTGGTAAACAACGGGTTTCGTACAAAAACCTCCCTTCGAGAGTAAGGTGTGTGTGTGTGGGGGGGAAGGGGGGGGGTGTAACAGAAAGAACAGGAAAGCGGAGGGGGTGTTGTTACACATCTTTGGTTACACTGCACTACAAGGCTTGAAACAGTGCTGTAGAGAGATCAACACTTGGCAGATCAATACGCGTCCTGTCACTCCTCTTTGCAATCGACATTTTTGCCAGT